CCCCTAACCACTCGATGCAACTGTCAAAGTCATTTTGCGCACTTCAATAAAACAGAGCAGAGAATGGAATTCAGCCGCGTCCTGCCGATATAACAACAACAAACAGTGTTGGAAACTTGTGGACTTCTCTACAAATAACGAACTGGTTTGATTTCATCTTCAACATACTAGTATTTAACTAGAATTTTTGCCTACTAGTTGGTTTTCCCCTACAGGGTCTCTATAGATGGGCCTGTAGAAGTGTAAAATACTTATCACCTACGGCAACCCCTCCAGCTTCATCCTCTCCGTGGTGTGCCTCTCTGTACATCTCGTGTTACTACGTCTATTCCCCATATTGCTTAGATTTTCTAGCACCTTGGCATTGCCTGTCTCCGCCTTGAAATGATTCCGGAACAGACTCAAGCATTCAGCACTCCAGAGCAGAAGCAAGCGTCATATTCTGTTATATGATCAGGATATTATTTCATACGGAAGGCCCTCCTACATACAACTAGACGCTTTATCCGAGTAGGCAGTGCATTCGAATTACGGCCATATCAACTTCTGAATTATAAGCAAAAGATTTTTTCTGAATGTGCTCGTCCCTCGGTATGAAATGGCGACTCCCCAGAGTGAATATCTGACATGAGCCATAGAGCTTAGACGTTTTGAGGATAATTTGTGGCCACTCGTTTCTGTTCCTAGTATCGTACGGCAAAATTTGGAGACATCAAGTGAGCCAAGGGACCATCTGCTTACGGAAACAGGTACTGCAACGAAGCCGCAGTTCAAACAGAGTACTTGCTGTCCATTAATTTTCTGAACTAGATTAATGTCGTCGTTTATCTTGTACAGCTGATTTGCTACATTAATTCATAAATCATCCACAAACCCTTTCCCTCGAATACTCCCAAAACCGTTTCAACGCTTGTTGTCATCGTCTATGCCACCGCACATGTATTGTAGAGATTAGTCTTTGTTCGTCGAGAGTAGACTTTCCTATTCCCGCTTGGCGGGTTGCATACTGGTCATCTAATATGAAGCCACGTTTTGTCAATGGAAACTTTTATAATTTCCTGGCATCAGTAGTAAGTGTTACTGATATATGAAATATCTTTAAGTTTTCCTTTAAAGTTTTTGATTTGTCAAATACTCACACCAATCAAACAATAATTCAATTCGTCCTAGTGTTAACTGAGTGCAGAAAATTTCATTACAATAATAGTTAAATAATAACAAAAGCAGGCGCTGGCGCGCAAAGATTTCAAAAATTGCAAAACAAAAAATCTTTTCCATATATTAAAGGATGATTTTTTAGCTATTATCTTTTCGGCAACACTGGTTTAAACAGCTGACGCACGTTTCCTGCTTTGTCTCACTGGCAAACATCTTCAGTTTGGGCTATAATAATTTAACCATGAATCGTCTTACAAACGAACAACGCTGGCAAATTACTGAGTTTTATTATCAAAATGCATGCTCCGCGTGCGCTCCGAAACTAATTTTTGGCTTAATGCGAGCGTAAATAAGCAGAATTTTCGATTTTGGGATGAAGATCAACCAGAAGATCAGCAAGAGCTACTAATGCATCCAGAAAAAGTCGAAGTTTGGTGTGGTTTATGGGTTGGATCGGACCATTGGACCGTAGTTCTTCAAAGATGATGCCAATCGTAACATAACTGTGAATGGTGAGCGCTATTGTGAGATGATATCAAACTTCTTTTTAGCCCAAAATGCAAGAGCTTGACTTGCATGACATGTGGTTTCAACAAGACGGTGCCAAGTTACAGGCGAGTTCGGTGAACATTTCATTACACGTTCGGGACCTTTCAATTGGCCGCCTAGATCGTGCGATTTAACGCCTTTAGACAATTATTTGTGGAGCTATATTGTTAAATCTAATGTCTTTTAACGCATTGGAGGACAACATTGAGGCATTTATTCGTGAGATACCGACCGAAATGTTGGAAAGAGTATGCCAAAATCGGACGAAGCGTGTGGACCATTCGACGCGCAGTCACGATCAACATTTTGATAATCTTCAAACATTAAATTATATGGACCGCATTATCGATTCAAATAAAGATTAAACGAATTTTTCTGAATTTTTTTTTTTTTTTTTTTTTTTTTTTTTTTTTTTTTGAAAAACTTTCCTATAGCTCTTAAAAAATCACCCTTTATTTATGGCCAATGCTAAAACAACAACAAAACAGCATTAATTACGAACACCAATTAGCGAAACTCAACAATAAAAGTCAGTGAAGTGCGTCGCGAGCGAAAATTCCTATTTCCCAGAGATACATACATGCATACATACAAACATACATACATACTCGAATACTCACATTGTATTGTAGTTGACATCGTTTTTTTAACAGGTCAATTGGTGAGTTTGTGAATCGATGAGAGAGAATAAAAACAATCTCAAGCAGTGCTGCGAGTAGAAAAGAGGCAGGAGCACTTGAATTTGAGAGGCAAAAAGTTAGCTGTTAATGCAGAGATTCAATTAATTTTTGATTTTTTCTTATCCATTCAAATTGAGCATTTTAATTAGTTGAAAATATTGGAAGAATAAGAAGACTCCGGTTTTCTTTTGTTTATTTTTGAATTAAATATTTCTTTGTTGAGATTCAATTCCAATCAAATGGTCCATTATTATTTATGATCCTTTGACAATTTCTCGGATGGGGCTTTACAATTCCATCAGAAGAACTTCTGTGACCTATCGGCAAATAACTTCAGCTCTTGATCGCTCAATTTTTTACCATCAAGAGAGCAGAGTTTTGCAGAGACCGAAGCCAATGGTAGTCAGATGGTACAAGGTAAGGGTTATATGATGGGTGCATCAAAAATTATCAAACAAGTTTCGTCAAGTTTAGTGTAGTGTAATGTAATGTCACTCAATTTCACTGAACAATATCAATAATACCAACAATAGTAAAGCCATTCGTTAAACGAAAATGTGGTCACAGTGGAGTGGAGTCATCGCCCGCATACCACCCAGTTTGCGTTGAGAAATTATAGGTTAGGAAGGCATAGAATTATACAATAATATAAAAGGTAACTTTTTAAGAGCTATTAAATATCACAAAAAACACATTAAAGTTTAGAAAAATGCATGAAATCTTTATTTGAATCGATAGTACGGTGCTTGAAATTTAATAATTGAAGATTATTTCATGCAAATGTTGACCGTGATTGCGCCTCAAAGGGTCCATCCGCCTAGTACAATTTCGGCATACTCTTTCCAATATTTCGGCCGATATCTCCCGAATAAATGCTTCAATATTGTCCACCAATGCGTCAATTGAAGCGGGCTTGTCTGTAGACATTAGATTTAACATAGCCTCACAAAATATAGTCTAAAGGCGTTAAATCGCACGATCTAGGCGGCCAAGTGACCGGTCCCGAACGTGAAATGAAATGTTCACCGAGCTCGCCTTTCATTAAGTCCATTGTTACGCGTGCTGTGTGGCATGTGGCACCATCTTGTAGACACCATATGTCAAGCAAGTCAAGCTTTTGCATTTTGGGCAAAAAAAAAAGCTTGATATGGTCTCACAATAGCGCTCACCATTCACAGTTATGTTACGATTCGCATCATCTTTGAAGAACTACGATCCGATGGTCCGATCCAGCCCATAAACCACACCAAACTGTGACTTTTTCTGGATGCATTAGTAGCTCTTGCTGATCTTCTGGTTGATCTTCATCCCAAAATCGACAATTCTGCTTATTTACGCTCGCATTAAGCCAAAAATTAGTTTCGGAGCGCACGCGGAGCACTCATTTTGATAATAAAACTCAGTAATTTGCCAGCGTTGTTTGTTTGTAAGACGATTCATGGTTAAATTATTATAGCCCAAACTGAAGATGTTTGCCAGTGAGACAAAACAGGAAACGTGCGTCAGCTGTTTAAACCAGTGTTGCCGAAAATATAATAGCTAAAAAATTACCTTACAACATTACTATATTACTTCTAGTATAACGGTTTTTTTTTTGAATTGCTATAATTTACCAGAAGCAGTGGCGACCAAAGGAGGATTTACCCGCGGTAAGGCATGCCTGTCGTAAGAGGCGACTAAAATCCAATAGTTCCCGCGACAGTCGGGTCTTTATACCGGAACGACCCGGATTTTTATCCGGCCAAGGACTGTAACACCCGCAACATTCCCCAAAAAGTACTTTGGGGAATAATTTTGCGGTTACAACAACAACAACAACCAAAGGAGCCGCATAAGAAATTCGAAGCATAGTTGCTGCTACGGCCACACAACAATGATAATGCATTATTAATCTTGCGGAAGGGCCGACGATGCACAAAATGAAATATTTGTAGAATTTAGAAGGAAAAATAAAGCTCTTGCTTGGCTTTTATTTAAGTAAAATCGAGTAAACTCTATAATAATGTTGAGTTAATACGGCTGATTTGCACGAAAAGAGAATTTCAAGCTTATTTACGTATTTCAGTCATCTTTACGGAAAATCTAAGGGAGAAATTGTTGTAAAGCAAGTTCTACATAAATCTTCGTTCTTTTAGAGGGCTATTAGAAAAATCCTATTGGTATCTACATCGTGGGACAGCTGTAAAGCATATAGAATTTCATGAATGTTGAAATACAATAAATTTTCAATGCAATTAATAATTCAAAAATGTCACATAATTGCCTATTTTATTAAAACACTTTGGAAAATATCCAAAACCAGAAATAATAAACTGTATAAATAGATGAATCCAAAAACTAACCGCTAAAATAAAGATCTGCTTGAGGCTTGCTAGCCATTTTTTCCTGGATCCGGTTCGTTGAAAACTCAGTAAATTTCTTTCTTTCGGAGAGTAAAACATCCTACCCTCTCAATTTCGTTACTTGCTGATTTTTGCTAATATTTCTCTACGAACACAGCTAATATTCGTTTCCGGCCGAACATAGTATACCCTTCTTGTACTCCTACAAATTTATGCATTCACTTTTATGATTTTATTTAATTCTTTTTTGTTTTTTTTTGCTTCCTTGCAGTTACACGAAGAATTTGTCATCGGACAAAATTAATTTAAGCACCTTTCGTGGCGAGGGGGATCTGGTGAATTTGCAGCTAGATGAAGCGGTGCTCACTGAACTGTTAGAGTTGCCGTCATGGCTGCGACTCACATCGGCTTGGTGCAATCATGTGTCCTTTCGCATTAGTTGGACAAAACTGAAAAGTGTGCCAATAACATTGGTGAGTAATGACATACATAGTATATACTTACATACGTACATATTTATACGTATTTTATATAGTAGTAGACAACCATACGGACGACATAGACAAGTCAATAAATGTCTTGTTAGTTTGTCATTTATTAAATGTGCATTTCTATTTTCTACCTTTTCATATGACTCAACGTAAATATATATATACACATATATATATATATATGTATGTATACACACACACACCTTTATATCATAACGCCATTGCCTCCGCAGACACTGGACGAAGTCAACATTAGTGTGGAGACTTGTGATCCGAGCACCAGAAATCAGGATGCCAATTCACCGGGCGGCATTGCCGGTGGCGGCGGCATTGGTGTTGGTTCGAGTGCTGGAGGAGGAGGAGGAGGCACTGCAACAGCACAGCCACAAGTGCCGCAAGGCAAATACAGTTTCATCCACAAGATAGTGGACGGCATTACAATCATTGTGAATACGGTGAATGTGAAATTCTTGAGTGCAGCGTTCACGGCCTCAGTGCAGGTAAGTGAGTGTCATCTACCAGCTGGTGTTTGCTGTGGAAAAATGCAATTTGGCTCTAAGTAGCGAATGTAAAAATGTAAAAAAAAAATGAGAAATAAGTGAGCAGTGGCAAATTGAGTGAAGCCAAACGAAATTACACTACTAAAGCAATTAACTTTTGGTTATGGCTTTGGGCCTTTAAGGTGTTTGGAAAAGTTTTAGGTTAGTCAGACATGAGGGGAGTTTTTTCACTATTTTTCCTCCTCACACCTTGCACTAATCTAGTGGTTTAGCAGTTTAGACAGCTAAATGAAGTCTCAAAGATGGGTAAATAGTAACTTTTAGATATTGAACTTCTAAAAAAAAGAGTTTACGTCCTAAATGACCTAATCTTCACCAAAGTACTAGCAGAGCTATCTACGAGCACTAATAAAAAGTGCAACGTTTCATTCAATCTACACATCAGACGCCGTCTTTCTTAGTTATACCGTAAAACGGTTGGGTTTGTAGTATCCTGTGACAACAGAGGATCTAAAGCTGAAAAGTGATTAGTTCGACTGCTCCGATTGGCTTCAATTAAGCGTTATGACAAGAAGAAAAACTACGGTAGCATTCCCTCTGTAAAACCATTCACATTGGCGAGAAGTTTAAACTGCTACGACCGGACAAAAAGACTGACGGTGGAAACAGCCCTCCGTATTAGAGATTCAAAAATATACCCGCCGTAAGGCATGCTTGTCGTTAGACACGATTAAAATCTAATATTTCCCGCAACAGTCATGTTTTTATACCGGAGCGACCCGAATTTTATTATTTATTATTTTTATTCGGCCAAGGATTGTAACTACAAAAACATCTTTGGGGAATACTTTACCATTACAGCAACAACAGAAAGAGTGAAAACATAGTGTTATATATACTCTAGATTTCCGCTGCAACATTAGCACTGACATTCTAACCATGCTCCTAGATAAGCTACGCTCGTGTACGTGAAGTCGGAAGCTTGTATAAAAGCTCTCGCGGTTACAGAGTTGCGGTCTGACCCAAAGTCTGGTTAAATTTCACATCGGCTTGTGCTGGTGTTGACCGGCTTATCCTATTGTACATGAAAATTAAATTAATAACAGGCGCTGAGTTTAAGAAAAACACCAATAAATATTATATTTTGATAAGAAGTCCATAAAAGTAATCTTAAGTTGTAAAGTTGCCCCGCTCAGACGCTGTCGGTAGATCTTTGAACAACCTGCGATGGTTTTGACTCTCGGCTGAGCAGGAGATTATATCGGCTGAGCAGGAGATTATAGTCAATTCCGGTCTGTTGTTTATTTATTTAATTATTTTTTTTTCAAAACGATTACACTACAACTAAAGTGGCAATAAGAAGCAGGAAAACAAACTCTTGACTCTAAGCAAGTAGCGCATTGTTGGGGGATTTCGGACACACAATGCGAGCATACTTCTTTCCAAGGCAAAATACTTCCCCGGATCTGCTTTCACCAGTAGATCAAAAGTAGATGGCAGATGGAAAACACTCGTAATGTAACCAGGAAAATCTGGTTATTTTTCGATGTCTCAACTTCTAAACGCGACCATCATTAGCATCATTTACGGCATAATAGCCGGTCACTATCCGTTGAGCCTAATGAATTTGCTTTCGATTCTGCTGAAGAATTGTTGAGGAGGCGTCGGTGGAACACTATCACTGAAACAGTTCACTAAAACTGGATTTAGGAAGGCCTAAGATTTATATAACAACAGGCTAGAGGCCTAAAGGCGCTAGATCATGGTTACACGATCAGGTAACCAAAACTACTAACAAACAAACTCGAGTGGAACCCATTGTAGAGGAAGATATCTGGCTGTCTAAACTCTAACTAGTCATTTGTAATTATGTTCGAGGCATCTCCAGTTCCTCTCAACCTGGACCATTAAATGACTTCTACTAAAGTCCTCGGTTATAGATGCCATGAATTTGGTGTCTGAGAGTTTGTTGTTTTTAGTTACACATATCATGAGCCGTCTGCAAAGTGAAAAGAGAGTTTTGAGTCTTTCGATAGAACCGAACCTGAACGCTGAAGTAATTTCTGTCATGTCTCACGAGGTTTTTCTAGCAAACGGAGGATGCTTCAATTTATTCTAAGTCTTCTCCGCAGAGCTGATGGATTTTTACGAGGAGCTTTTAACGCATGTCAGAAACACATTCCGAGATACTTATAAACCCTACCGAAGTGCCGTCCCCTTTTTAAAAATTATATTTTATACTTTTGGATGTCGAACTGAACTTGAACCCACGATCTTATGAATGGCAGTACGCACTGCTAATCACTTGGTGATTGCTACCGCTGCGTCTACGAAAGTTCTATAACAAATCAAATTCAAAAAAAAAAAAAAAACTTTTCATTAACTTCCTTTTTCCATTTCACAGATGTCCCGCATACGCGTTGAATCCAAAACACCAAAATGGGCGCATGCCGATCTACGTTTCACACGCCTCAAAGATCCGCATAAAGGCATCATACTCATTTTCAAAGAACTCTCCTGGCAAACGGTGCGCATCGAAGCCAGCTCTACGCAAGACAAATCGCTCACACCGCTACGTTTGCTCACCAATCAAGCACGCTGCCGGCTAACGTTACGTAAGCGTCTTTCCGACTGTACGTTGTTAGCCTCACGACTGGTGCTCATACTGGACGATTTACTTTGGGTGCTCACCGATTCGCAGCTAAAGGCGGCCTTACACTTTGTCGACTCCTTATCGGGTCTGATCAAAGCGGCGACACATGCAACGCAAAAAAAGAATGCAGCTAGAAAATTACAGGTTTGTTGTATGCTCTTTTGGCATTTGCAAAAAAAAAAAAAAAAATATTCTATTAAGTGTTTTTTTTTATTGTATTTGTTTGTAAGCTTTGTTGTGTTGTGAAATATTTGATTTACATATTTGTCTAACAAATTATTATTAATTATTTCTTGTTTACATAACACAGACCCTACCCGAGTATCAGGCATTGATAGCGCAACAACAAAATCGACAATCTGACTCGGCACACACAACAACAGCACAGAAAATGTTCAATGCATTCGATGTGCGCGAGACTTCCTATCACTTTTTCAGCCAGCGCATCGATTTGCATTTGTGCGACGACGAAGGAGGTAATTGAAATTGAAATTGCATGCTTGTTAATTTAATATTTATATGTATCTTTCATGAAAAATCAATAATGAGTTTGTTGTCACCTTGCTGGGAAATTTAAGGAGAAAGTTATCCGGATAATGAGCTGTGTTGAGTTGTGGAAAACCACTTTTCTTTAGTTGTTGGTTATACTGGAAAAATTACAAAAAAAAGCAAATTTTAAGATAACTTTATAATATCAATTTTGTTGTTTGTCTATTTTTAGCCTGAAGATCAAAAACCTTCTACAAAAAAAAAAAAAAAAAAAAATATATATATTTTAAATTCAAGTTTTTCCCAGTTCCGCATCTTATAAAAAAATCTGTTTCTGAATCTTCTTCTCATTACTGTCAGCCTGAGTTGGACCACACCACCTCCAGTCTGCGCTTCGACAATTTTTTCTCCACGACAATACTAAACAGAAATGAATGGGAAAACATCCCGATGCCCTCGATAAGGGAGCCATAGCATGTTGTTGTTGTTGTTGTTTTTGTTGTTGTAACAGCGAAAATTTCAAAGTAATTTTTGGGGAATGTGGTGGGGGTGACAGTTTTTGGCCGATTAAAAAATCCGGGTCGTTCCGGTATAAAGACCTAATTTCGGCGCGAAAAAATCAAAACATCTTAACCTTATAGACCAGTTCTGCATTAGCATAACATAAGGTGTATTAAGGTCTAGGTCTTTGTTTAATAGGGCTTCACGGGAAAATAATCCGCTACCACCCTAATAATTTTTGCTGCAGATGTCCAGCCTTATTATTTGCGCGACATAAGTTCTTCGGGGAATACTTCTTTAGCTGTGTCGCGGATGCTAGCTCATTGGAAATCTGGTTGCTTTTATAAGTCACACGAAATGCTTGGATAAGGTGTGAAAATAATAAAACCAAATTATTTTTCATTTTCAGTAATATATTTACCTGCAAAACGAATACATTTTTCAGTTCATTCAACTAATTTATTTATACCATCATAAAAAATGTTTTCCTTCTTTTAATCTGCGAAATTCGCCAAAACTGCCACTTTGACTTCATCATTGATGATACATTTCGTACTACTAAGCTCTTTTTTTCATATTTGGAAACAGGTAAAAGTCATTAAGGACCAGGGTAGCTAACATAACACAGCTCTTAAGGCTGTGTTTTTTCCGGAGACTTAAAATTCTCGGCAACCATCTTGCGCTGACCTCAGTTATGTAAAGATGATCGTGCAAAATATTGATACTCGTATCAGATTCTCCATCCATCTCCATCATCAGAGCTTCAGGTTTCCTTTTTACTCGACTATCAATTATTTGCAACTTTTTAGATAAGCTCTGGCGTGGTCACCTCGATGCTCCTGAACGGCTTCGAGTCATCTTCCTTGTTTTAAAAACTGTGCCACTTGTACAACATGATTTTTCTTGGCACGATATTCATAAATAACTTTTCACTCTCGATTATGTTGCTTGTTTTACGATAGATCAAAGACTAATAGCCTACTAAAAATGAAACCTCGTATTTATACTGATATATTATGAGTCACTGAACACGAGACTATCCTAATGTTACCTGTGGACCTAAACGGGGTTAGATCGCCGAGTGTCTTCAACTTGTCTTTCAGCACCCTAATGATACTTGACGTGTGGAAAACGGGCAGGGTGCTCCCGCTACTCAAGCCGGGGAAACCAGCCAACAAAGAAGAGTCTTATCGGCCGATAACTTGCTGCTCCCGACCATCCGCATCCAACAGCACATCAGCATGACTTTCGAAAAGTACATAGTACCATAACAACACTAAACGCCATGAACACTCAGATTGTCAATGGCCTAAACCAAAACCGACCGCGCGTGCAAACAGTCCTGGTATCACTGGATTTGTCAAAAACATTTGACATTGTCAATCATTCAGTGCTGCTAACGAACATTGGAGAATCCTCATTGCCGCCGGGGTTGCCAAACAAACTTTGCTGACAACTTACAAAGCAGTTAGCCGGCCGGTCGTAAACTATGCTGCACCGATCTGGGCGACAGGGACGAACGACATGCATATGAAGAAGCTACAGGCTTGCCAAAACACCGCACTCAGGACCGTAACAGGGAACCTTCTGATATTGCCGAAGCATAACTTGCACAACGGAGCATCTATGCTATGAGTTAAGGAGCATAATGCTTTGCTGTGCAAGCGGTTCCTATTGGGATGCTACCGTGGGGAACACCCCAATAGGTGCCTTTTAGAAGCTGAACCTCCACCTAGGCACATTAGAAAGAGCGTACTTGAAATGAAGGACACCATCCAGCAATATGTGCAACGACCGCTCGACAGGACGGCGTATAGGCAAGACCTGAAAGCGATTTACCACGAGTTAGTCAACACCTTCAAAGGCTTCCTTCCCGTGAATGGCGTTCTCGGTGAAAAAGCACCATCCATTGCAGACAACAAGCTCGAGTGACCCGCGTGACCCTGGCACATCTTAGGTATGGATACTGTAGCAGGTTAAACTCCTACCTATTCAAACTCAACCCCAGCATACTCAACGTATGCCCCGCATGCGGAGACAATAATCACCTCATCACATGCTCTCTTAAGCCGACCCCTAGGGAGAGGGTGGCCCTCTGGTCCAATTCCGTCGAAACAGAAGGTTGCCTGGACCTCCTATTAGATGACCTGGGCGACTTAGATTGATTAAATCTGTCCCCTCTAAGCGGGGCTAGTGATGCGCTACAACAACATAATATCCTAATGAGCCTTATCACTCCCTACAACCTTCTTATTACGCGAACATAAGAACGCTTCTAAGTAAATGTCAGCTGAAGATCTCATTATTAACGAAATATTAGTACCACAAATTGTCGAAATCGGACGATTATAACATGTATCTGCCATAAAACTGATTGTTCAGAAAACTTTATGGAAAAGTGAACATAAATATTTGTTCATTAATTCATATGTATTTTTTTGCATTCTTTCAGATGGCCGCTCAAGTTATCCCGAATTGGATAAAGGTGGTGCTCTACAAATATCGGTGCAAGCATTCCAAGTAGACTATTATCCTTATCATTTGGCCAAATCGGATCGTGCACATTGGGCGAAGTAAATAAAAAAATTTTATATTCTTTTAATTTATTTTCATTTCTTTCACTTAAACTCTCCGCACGCTCTTTGCAGATATCGCGAGGCTTCCGTTTCACCAGCACTTTGGCTTAAAGAATCACTCAATACATTCCGTGAAGCTGTACTCAATCTAAGCCAACCGAATCGCCCCTCAACACATGCACCACTCGAACGCACTGCACCACCTTCACCGGTTGCTTTAAATGTAAATGCTTTGCAAGCGCAAAGTATGGCTCATGCCGGTATTGTGGGTGGCGGTACGTCAACCGCTAATTCCGGTGCTAATACTCCAAATCGACCTAGCAGTAGTAGTAGTGGTGGTGGTGGTGGTGGTGGTGGTGGTTCAGGTAATGCTTCAGCATTCGCCAGTCAAGTGACACAAGCGCAACAGCAGAAGGCTACGCTGGATAATTTGGCGAGATTAATGAGCGCTTGCGTGGTGTTGCGCATTGAAGATTTTACTTTGTATCGCGTCACTACGTCCGGTCGTAAGCAGATGCCTAAGGAATTTGTGTCAGGTATTAATTTAAGTGAAACTCCTCAGCTTCGGAGAATATTTTTTGTAGTTAGCTATATATCTACTAGTCATCTGATTTATATACTTATTGATGAGCTTTCAAATATTTGCTTTTCTCGTTACTCTGCTTATTTTTCATCTCTCCTCCATACACTCATTGGCTTCATTATACAAAATTTTCGCACAAAATATATAAATTTTTTATATTTAGCACAAAATAAGAGGAAATCACGTTCAGGTACCAAAAGTAAATTTAATAATATGTATGTTCAGTTATTATGCAAGAGTCGAGGTTATATTGACGTTACTTTAATTAAATTTGTATGATAGCCTTTAAGCAGATAAAAAAAGATTACAAGTGATGAGCTAACACTGGGCCTAGTCCATACAAGCAAAAACTTAAAGCTAGCAAAAGCTTTCAAAAAAGAGATACGGATGAAGTGGTCTTCCATAGCAAGATCAGGCGACAGAGAATTTTTCCGAATAAACTTCACAAATCAACTAAAGTCTGGGGGACATAAACCACTATGACCTTTTCTTTACAGTGAATCGGTGGGTTAAATTTATTTATTTGCGTAGCTCATCTCTCCCCTTAAGAGTTTTTATGCGGTTATTGTTGATGTTTTTGTTGTTGCAGTACCAGTTCTCCGACCTAAGACAAAGTTATCGAAGTCATCTAATGGGCGATCCAAGAAAGAAATTAGAGGGCATGCAAAGAGATGGTTAGAGTCGTGCGGGGTCTCATTGTATGCAGGACATACGTTGAATATTTCGGGGTCTAGTCTGAATAGGTATGACTTAAGCCGACTACGAAATGCAGATCTTAATTGCGTCAGTGTTACTCGGATTTCTTGACTAGAAAAAGCGATGCTTGGAATTTGAGGGCGCCAGGACGCCATTCACTGGAACTGAGAGTCGGTGTGGTATTCCCTTCCTGATGTGACTGGGGAGAGGTACAGCCTCGAGTAAGTGTCTGTGCCGACAGTAGTATCCAAGCAGATATTGCTTGTGTAGCATATATTGTACTCCTTAACTCGTAGCAAGTGATGCTCCGGTAGCATTAGGAAGTTTCGTGTCACGTTCCTTAGAAAGGTCTTTTGACATGCTTGTACATTCCTTATATGTCTCCCAATAGTCCTCGCCGTTCAAATCGAAAACGCGTAGTTTGGCGGCCGCCGAATTGTTTTTAAGAATTTTGTTGCAACAATGGCTGTCTTATGCAGGGCGAAGGAGCGCAGATTATCTAGTAATTCTCTCAGTTTCTTTTTTACCGCTTTTGCCGTTGCTTTTGTTGTTGTTGTAAGTAGCTTTGCTCTGTTTAAAAGAGAGTAAATTATGGTTTCCTCTTTGGTCATTTAAAATTGAGTGCTTCTCCAAGACTAGTTTCGACCAGTTTTGATAAAAAGAAGAAGAGTATCAGATGAAAGTGCTAAACGAAGAGAGTTTTTTCTGGTCATACATATAAGTCATTGCTTAAGCCACTTTTGAGTCTAAGTTATATATTAATAGAGCAGCTCTAGCATAGACTTTAACCTTGGTCAGTTCTTACAGAGGAATAACTGTATTTAGAAAAATCTGCTTTGTTAGTATTTCTTTGCACTGAGACGCCTTGCTGTTGTTATTGTTGTACCTCGTTAATTCATATCGTAGAGGAAAGTTCAAGAAACTCTCCTCCGTCGGGTTTTCACAGGAAGGAGAGGGGTGTGGGATGAGTAGGCTTTCCGCTTAGTACTGTTGTTATATTTTGAAGATGCCATTCATTATATGATACCGTTTCTCTAACCTCTCACTAAAAGTCGTTCATTACGATGCGATCGCGACTTTACCATGTTGATTGTTGATGATAAATGTTGATGTAGATTATAATCTTACACTTAAAGAAGAGTGAATTGGGACGTGTATTATCTCTATTAAATTGGGAGGTATACCAAATATTATGTCCTCAAACCGTAACGAAAAGAATTTGAGTATATTTGTGCCAATTAGAACAAAAAGCAGTCTCCTCGAAAAACTTAGAAAATCATCTGCCAGCAAATTGACCAAGGCTCGGCACAGCATTAATACTCTCAATTTCACTTGTGACAGTTCTGTAGTCTAGCTCATCATTTAGGAAACAGCTTGTATACCTTATATAGTAATTTAACTTTTAATAAGCAGACCTGCTACATAAGTATATAAACGTATGAAAAATCAATATTTTCTCTCATTCAATTAATTCTAAGTAAATTCTTTATCTTATAGGTGACAAAGAACGCTATTCGTTTCCCACTGATATGTCCATTGTACATGCTGAGTTTACTTATTTTTATTACCCTGGTGATTTTATATTTCCTTGTAAGTGAAAATATTTGAATTTATATATGCTTAAAAATTTTAAATTAAATAAATTTTTCCCGCTTCTCTTTATCCCTAGTGCCGCCGTCCAAAGTATTCGTTCACATTAATCCGCTCCAAGTGCACTTCGATTTAAGTTCCGTACTTTGGCTTAATTCATTTGCATTGAATCTACATGAAAGTTTATTACGTACCAGCGTTGGCACAGCGAGCGGAGCCTCCACCAATGCACGTGGATCCATCTCGTCGGGAAGCTCGCAACATGCGCCGGGTTTACGTAGCTCTTTGCATGGCTCACAAGGTTCACAAGACTCACGTGGTTCACAAACTGGCGTGACACAAGCCGAGCAAGAGCCCAATCTCATGTATATGGATGTGAAAATTGAGGCGATTATGCCACGTATTGTTATCGAATCAGTAGTGGATGTGCCCAATCAGAAAGATCGTCCTAAAATAATGCAAATACAGATATCACGTTTTGCAGTAACGAATATACGGGAGATGGGTTCATCTCGTGCTGATTTGGCGCAAGCTTTGCATTCACTGCAAGAGGGTTCACTGGTTTTTGGCACAGAATTTCCATCTGTGAATGGTGATATGTGCATTGTAACCGATCGCATACTCTCACATGTAGCAGCTGCAGATGTAGGTGCGTCTGCACCAACATCCACAGTTCCGACGATGGCAACAATACACCATCCATTGCAAATACATGACCAAAGTCAAACATCATCACCAACGCAACTACCGAAATCTGCATCAACGCAAAACCTAACACGCTACGCCATGTGGTCGGAACCACGTGATGTGTGGTGTATAAAACTTGATCCCGTGTGGGTAGATTTCCTGGGTGCACGTTCCTTGGGACCCAATAAGTCAATACCTTTCGTCGATGCGGTGCCTGTCACGTTGTGGTTACATTCCGGTGTTGGTGCTATGCATAAAACCGCAGCTGCCAGCACATCGTCAAGCATGAAGGGCTCTTCCGTTGAAACGAATATTAATTGTATGGATTATACAAATGCAGATAATAGAACACTACCACGTAATCCATTTCTTAGTGAGGAGGATGTACGCATGGGAGGTGATTGGAAGCAGCAGCGTGCCTTTAATGGTAGTGCTGATTCTGCGGGTGCCGGTAAAACCGCTCCTACAAACAATGAACGTACCGCCGATATGCATGCCATTGCACATATTTCCAATTTGGTGAGTGTGCAAATCGATCACTATCAATACTTGTTCCTATTACGTTTGGCCGAAGAGATGACCGAGATGGCCATGTTCCTATCGATGGACGCCGAGCGTATTTTACAAAAGGTTTGGCTGCAAGAATCTAAATTATTTTTATTATTGATTCATATTTGCTATATAATTTTTATATTTTTTCTTTATAGCAAAATACAAAGAAATCGATGATATTCGGTTGTGTTATACCGCAAATTGAAGTAACACTAGTGATGCCATCACCAACACCTGGTAAGGAATCGAGTGGTGGTGATGCTGAAAGTGTCTTACCTGATTCAGCTAGTTTGGGTGATGATTTACACATGAATAGTAAGATTTGTTTTTTAGTTTTTTTCGTATCCTAAGTTTTAGAAATGTCTAATTCGACAAAAACGAAAAAGTATAGTTACAAAAATTAGTGTCTATCTAATACACTTTTTCTTTTTCATCACTTATCACTTGGCTATATTTTCTATTTTCTATCATTCATTTAAATTTTTATTTTTTCATTTGGTTGCAGTCAATAACACTAAAAGAATCTTATTTATAGGGAAAACATACTTACATTCGGTTTCATAGTGATATTCGAAAAAAGTTGTAGCCTTGAAAAAATCGGTCTCTGTAGGGTAGTGATTTGCAATGAGCGGTGTAAGGCGGAGTGTCATGCGTTCGAATACTGGCCAGGCCAACATCCAAAATTATTGAAAATTAATTCTAAACTAATCTTTCTATATATGTTCGCCTCTCGGCAGGAAATATTAATCCTACCGAGAGTAGTTCTGGTGTCAAAAAGAAACTTCTCAGCCGGAGGCGGCTTAGAATAAATTGTAGGCCCACCGATTGGTGGAAAACATGGTAAAAATTTTTGGAAAGGTTTGGCGAGAATCGGTTTAAGGTTTATAAAAGGCCAATTATATACAATATATATATACATATTACTAGATCTAGGAGCTGATGGAGTAGCAGTGCGTGTTAAGTGCTCGACTGTCGTCACTCCGACTGTTTTTCGTACGTAAAAATTGTCCCTAATCCATAATAATTTTCATTCATTCTTGGTATTTCACTCTGGGACAAAATATTCTTTAATGTAAAAGAAATCCTTTTTGCTTTTAAAACATTTTATTTTTAAGCTTAGCATCTTTCTATAGGAATATATTTTTATCGCTTTATAAATTGCTGCTATATTTTCTTAAGTTTTTTCGAACTCAACTTTTATTATCTACTCAAAAACACCACTTTATTTAGTATTTTTACTAATAGTTTTCTCATTAATCTCAAACCATCTGTATGTGTTTGTGCGTGCGTAGTTTACTGCTATTTTTTTCTTAGCGTCCAATTTTCTTTTCATAAATAAAACTTATTTGTTTTTTAAACTAACTAATTTTGCATGTTGTAATACTTTCAAGAAACATTAAAAAAAAGAAAACTGCTCAACAACGTAGTTGCCCAACTGCTCACTAAAATGAATCAGCTACACCAACCACCCACAAAAAAACTAAAACTAAACTAAAAAATACTTGAAATATATTTATTTAACTAAATGCTAACTTTCACGCAATCACTACTCTTTTACCATTGAACTATTGCATGCGATTTGTGTTGTGGATTTTCTAATTTATCATTACGCTGTTTTCAGGTACAAACACTATATGGCCTACACCGCCGCTGGAGCAGGTGAAAAGTAATATATATGGCAGTGTGGAGACACCATCGCCAGTCACTAATGAGCCGCTCTATGATGGCATAATACATGCTTCCAATCCCAATACACATGGGTGAGTACTGAGCATTCAAAATTTTTTTTTTATAAACTAGATTTAATCTTTTTGTTTTAGGTACAATGTGCAAATTCAAAGCACACCAACTGTCGCGTCCTCCACACCGAGTCAAGGTTCACGCCCCGACACGGGCGTTTATTCGCAATCCATAACGGCATCGACGAAAAGTGTGCGCTCAACACGTACTTCAAATGCCGGCGACACCACCAGTATAACGAAGGAAATTAATTCTAGTAAGCATTATTTTTTTTTTAGTTTTGAAAGTGGCAGCTTTATTTGATAATGGAAAAAATGCAGTGCTGGCTTATAAATTTCATACAGGGATAGGGTTAGCGAAGTTGATTGAACCTATGGCCGATACTTCTCAAGATATAAGCACTTATAAGGCCGCAATAGCCGAGTAGTTCAAACCCTTACCCTGCGTACGTGCGGTTCGATCAAAATCCAAAAATAAATTTCAAATACCCTTCACCCCTCGACAGAGAATGCCAATCCCAGACTTCCGATTTTCACGCTCTTTGATGTTTTTCTGACCAATTTATGACTCGAAACTTCAAATCTGAAAAATCGGTGGTGTATATGGCATAGTGGACCGTCCTAGCCGTTTCGTTTAAATGTATCAGTGCATTTCTATACCAAAATTAGTTGAAAAATCGTATATCTAAGAGAGTGGTTGCGTACAAATAAGCGGGCGGGCTAAATCAATTCAACCCTTGCTTCTGATGCGAATTGGAACTTATACGCACGAACTATTTCATGTACATGAAAAATCGAATAGCGGTTGTCCCTCCGCAAAAAATGTCAACTCCTCCGAATGAATGTCTCATAAGCAAAGGAAAGCTCTTCATGAGAATCTATAATCCCTACGTAGACGGCTTGGAAAAACTCAGCATAAAATCTTTATTTTGAATTTAGTGAAAAATTTCTTTACAAAACCAATTCGGTGCGAACTGTGACCAAAAATTTCTAAACTGCGTTATTTGAATCACTTTGGGTTTCGGCTGCGGTTATTACAGATTACATAGATTTTTGGTAATGACTTATAAATTTTATCTTAAAAATGCTATGAGCATAACTATAAAAAAAATAATAAAATCTGCTTTCAGGTCTTATGTCTATGAAGAAGGGCTTTTCCAGTTTTATGACGTCCATTGACTCGGCCATCAAGTCCGGCACACCCAACGATGATACCAGTGATACATTCTCCATACAAAGTGATATTAGTTCGGATTCGGAAAATTTCGCCATTGTAATGGGTGATGACAAGACAATGGACTGCATTGATGTGATGTTTAGGTTTGATTTCAATAATCTCAAATAAAAGTCGGTAATAGTAAAACATCCTTACAGATTGAATCCCTTCACCAATGACACCAACTTGAAAGCCTCACCTGTTGAGGTAGCGAGTGAGGTATTGGAGGAACCAGATTATAATAAAACTAATTTGTCATCACCATCAGAGCCGTCGGAAGTGAGCACGTGGCGTCGCCGTGATTTGGTATCAATGGCGACTTTTAGGTTTGTGTGTGCAGAATATTAGCAATTATGCTTTCATGTTTTAGTACTTTTAACTGTTTGCCCTTTTAGACTAACAACTGTCGAATTGATACGCCAAAATGAGGGTAACTCTTCGTCGTTGCGCTTGCAAGTGGCTGCGGTTTCTTGTGATGAATGCGGGGCTATTCCTTGGGATGAGTTGCAGGTGGGTTTTATGTTGTTAATTTTTGTTTTATATTTTTTCGTCTTCTTCTTCTTCTGTACACTATTTTTTAAACATAATATATAATCGATAAAATATTTTTAATCAACTGAATTTCCTTATAAGTGTTATTTGTGTTGTTTTTATTTAATTTTTTTTTACATTAATTTGAAGCAACATGATTTGTAAACTTTTAATTGTTTTCAGTTTTTATTTTGTCTCTTTAATTTATTTTGTTTTTACACCTTTTCTATTAGCGATTTTGTTTAAAGTCTGTTGTAAATAACTCTTGTGTGTTTTTTTTTTTAATTTTTAAAATAAGTTTATGTTTTTAGTTTTTCCATTCAGTAATATTTTATAAATACTTTTTTTTTATCAAATATGCGAATAATGTCTTGTTATAACTTTTTGCATGCCTACGATTCTCAATTTTTCTCAAATTTTCTTCTTTCACAATCGAAATCATGCGATTTTCTGCATTTAAATATAAAAATAATTGCTATGGGTATATGGAAAGTTATATGCAAAATCGGAAAAAGTACGTGTTACAAAAGAATATATTGTAAAATTGAATATTAAAATAATTTATAATATCTCTTCTTCTAACATTTCAAAATATGCTGAACAACAAAATTGCTAATTTGTTTAAAAATATTTTTTTCTTACTTTCCATATAACCCAAAGCGCAAACTTTTAAATACATACCACATTTTCACATGTGCATATAAAAATTTATTGAAAAAAAAAAACAAATCGTTTTGTAAAAAAATTATATTTTAAAGTTCATTTTTATTTTTTCTCTTTTCTCTCTCTTTTCAACAAAATTCTCGATGTGTGCTAAATTGCCAACATTTATGATATAAAAAATACCCAAACACATATGTTATCAAACATTTTCGTACGACATATAAAATAAATATGTTTTTATATATATATACAAACTTTTATAAAACAAACAACAAAATGACACTTACTATGTACATCAAAATCCAAACTGCAATATAAACATATTGTACATATATTGCTTAATACAACATAACTACCATCTATAACAATACAATGACAACAACGCCTTACTCGAAAAATCAAATCGTGTAAATAACAAAAAAAAAAAAATATTAAAAAAAAAATATAAAAATTCACAAAAAAAATAAAAACAGAAAGCTCAAGAAGCAAACAAGGTATATAAACAAACTTTCTCTTTTTTCTAATAATTTAAGCGAAATTCTTTATAAATAATAAACATTGAAATTGCATTACTGGTTTACTTGCATTAAACTTAATTTGGATTTTGTAATTAAATATAAGTTGCTTGCTTTTGCTTTAAATCGTTGAATTTAATTTTTCTGAATTTTTGTTACGTTTCCTTTTCCTTTTCATTTTTATTTTTTTTTTATTTAATTTTTTGGGTTTTTTGAAAATAGTACTGTAGTTGCGTTTATGACAATGCTGAGCTAACCTTAAAGTACACTTACCATTTTAGGCTTACCAAACGTTTTTAAATCCTAAATTGAATTTACTATAATTCCTATAATTGACTGCATATGGGTTTATTATATTACAGAAATTACGTTAGTGCATCTTACTAATTTCCTTTATTATCTACATATGTATTACACAATAAGAAACGATCCCCTTGCCCTGAGCGCACCCATTTAAGGATGTTCAACTTTTTTTTTGATTTTCTATTTTAGAAGTTCTGTATATTTTTAATGGCTTCCATTTTTAAAAACATAAAACGTTAGTTATTCAAAAAAAGAAGAACTCATTGAAATACTCAGAATTAAAATGGAGCATAAGTACCTAAAACAGCACATTTTATATGTATGTGAATAAAAAATAAAAAATAAAAAATAAAAAAATAAAAATAAATAAAATGGAAGTAAATGCAACTTATGCATACTGAATTTAGAGCAAAATTCACGTAAAAATAGTAGTTGAAAAATTTTTATTCGAATTTGTAATTAAATTTTATTTTTGAACTCGGGAAAATTGTAATTTTCGAACAAAGTCTTTAAATTATTATATTTTTCACGTACGATAGAGACTCTAAACTGCTTGTAAAAGCTGCTCCATGCGTTTAAAAACTCTAACCACAAACATACACCGTTATATTAAACAAATCCTGATGCTTTTCCCCGCTTTTCCCGGTTAAATAATTATTAAATTTTGATTGCATGACTTTTTAATGGCTCACTGAGTTATTCTTTCCATTAGCGAGTTGAAAAAATTTAGCGTAGCCTTAGAAGTTTATGAATTAAAAGAATTATGTACAATAATATAATTCTGAAAAACGTTTTCAGCTTGAATGTTTGTTAATTAAGTATATATTTTGTTGCTTTTTATGTTTTATTTATTTAATAATTTTCTTAAAAGCTTATTTTCGTATTTTAAATACTAATCTGTTAGTATTTTGATTGGGCACTTTCGGACAGAAATGGCATAAAACTGTAAAAAAAGAAAGAGCTGTTGAGCACCTAAGATTTAAAATTGAATGTAGTGGAGTATACTGTGTTAGATATGAAAATGGAATTTACGACCAACAATTTTTTAAAATGTCCTTAAATGTAAATCTTGCCCGTATAACCGCTAGAAGTTTTAATATTTCTTTTTGACGAGTTTTCTTGAATATGAATGAAAATTCTAAATAATAATTCAATTAATGTCAAATCGCAAACTCGGATGTGTATAAAAGCAAAATAATATATTTTATATACCATGAAAATGAATATATTTGATTATCTTTAAAAAAAATATCATTAGATTTTCTTGAAAATTTCAATAATCTTTGCCGATCTTTGCATATTACTATTTACAATATATTCTCTTGGAATAAAATAAGCTCAAAATACTACGAACTCAGTTAAAAATCTCAAACTGTCGCGCACTAAAAATTTCAAAAGCACACTAAACACGTTTCAAATTGGCTAATTTATTAATCATTAACACATAAACAGCATAAAAATACCTTAAACATACCCGTGCATATGCAAGATTCATATGTACATACATACATCTACATATGTATACTAATTGTTTTCATTTCATTATTCAATATCATATCAACTGCTAAACGCTTCTTTGCACTGCATGCCAAATTTTCATATATGTTCAAATGCACCGTTAAATGTAAGAGTTGTATCAATAATTATTATCATCATGTACATATGTAAGCAAACAATCAACTCTATGCATGGCTCTGACGCTACCAATTATTATTGCATTGTTTGTAAACGCTTTCTCTTTTGGCAGTACAAAAAAAAAAAAACATTCATTGCCTTTGGCTCTACTAAAGTTTTGTGCAATGTTTTTTTTTGGCACCGTAATGTATTTTATAGTAAATTTTCTAATAATATTATACTTATTAATTATGAAATAAAAATAAATTTGTTGCCAATTTCATTTTGTATGCACGCTCTCCAACCTGTTTACGTATTTGCTCGGTTTAGACGAAATTCGGCGCACGTTGTAAAGCTTGGAATTTAGCGCCATATAATCCGGAGCTGCCGCCATGTATACGTCTGCGCTTGGAGGAGACGTTGGACTTTCCCCAAGGCAATATAAAGATCACCGATAAAAAGTCCATGCAGAAGTGAGTGAATTGATTTACATTAAATATTTTGTTCAAATATAATATATATATTTTTTTAAATCTTGTTTGCTTGGCCTGAGTTTTGTTTTATTTTATGTTACTTTGTGGTTAATTTAATTTATTTATTTTTATTATTTTATTTATATATTGGGTTGCCCAAAAAGTAATTGCGGAATTTTTAAAAGAAAGTAAACGCATTTTTAATAAAACTTAGAATGAACTTTAATCAAATATATATATATATATATATATATATATATATATACATATATATATATGCTTTGTTTAATCTATATTTTATTTGTTCTATTTAATACAATATTTTAATAGTTTAATTTATTTCTTTTGTTTATTTTAATTTAGTTTATTTTTATTTATTATTTCATTTCTATTTTTATTCTGTGTAATTTTACTTCATTTTATTTATTTTAGCTTATATTTGACTTTGTTTTGTTTTATTTTCACTCTTTTTTTTATTTTGCCTTAGTTTATGTTTTTTCATTTTAAGTTTAATATATTATTTTATATTATTTTTATTAATTAATTTTTTTCATAATTTTAGTTTTATATCTAATATTTTTATTTACTCTATATTTTATATTTATTTGTATATTATATATGTTTATACATGATTTGCAGCTGAAGAAATTGTATTTTAATTTTATTTATAAGTTCATTATATTTAATTTTATATATCTATATATATATATTTATACGATTTTTTTACTTTACTTTATTTTATGTAATTTTAATTTACACTATATCATTTTATTTAATTTGGTTTATGGTATTTTCTTTCATGTAATTTGCTTTTATTTATTTATTTTTTTTGTTATTGTACATACTTATTTAATATTTTTATTTATATTGAATTGTTTTATTAATTTTATTTATATATTTTTTTAAATTTTTTTACTCAACTTTGATTAGTTTTTATTTAACTTTTACTTATTTTACTTTCTTTTAATTTACCTTATTTTATTTTAATAAAAATAAGCTTAATTTTTTAATGTTTTTGTTCTATTTGGGTTTACTTTAAATTACTTAGTATGATTTTAATTGAATTAAATTAATTTTTTTTCGTTTATAATTTTTATTTTTCTCTAATTTTATATTATTTAATTAATTTAATTTAATATTTTTACTTAACTTAATTTTTATTAATTCTATTTTATTTTATTTTTTACTTAACTTAATTTTACTTGAATTTATTTTGCATTATTTTATTTAAATATAGTTTTAATTTATTTAATTTCTGTTTTTTATTTTATGTCTTTCACTTCTTTTCTAATTTATTTTATTTATATAAATTTTTTTTATTTAGTTTTATTTTAATTTAAGTCGCTTGTTTTATTTCATTTTATATCAGTTTAATATATTTCATATTTTATTTATTTTTTAATTGATATTAATTAATTTTATTCATTTTTATTAGTTTTATATTGTTTCAATTTAATTTATTAAATAAAGTTTTCATTTGGAACTTTATTTTACGTTTTACTTTGTTTTAATTTTTATTTTCATATTTTGGTTATACTTTAATTTATTAAATTAAATAAAATTCATTTATTATTATTTTTTAATTTTGCAACTTAGCGAATTTGATGAATTTTGTTTTTTCTGACATATGTATTTTCTATCTCCACAGTTGGGTTACTCATCACGCTGAAGTGCGTGTGAAAGATGTGAATTTGGATTTGGCCATGAGCACTGTTATTGGTTTGGGCGACTTGGCTGAAGATGAAATCATCTCAACGCCTTTGCCAGTTACGGTAAAATTAAATGCAATTTTTTATTATTATATTTTCTTATTATTACTTGAATATTTGTGGATTTCTTTTACAGGTACACGTGGAAAATGTAAAACTTAACTTAAATGAAGATCGTCCACCCGTAAATATTACCTCACCGGGTCCAGTGCCAATACGTTTGGCGATCGGACGCATGCGTATACATCGTGATAAAAATGGCATTGTCAATATACAACCCATAGGTGGGTATTAGATACGATATTTTCGTTCTTCGATACAGATTTTACACATGAAAAAAATATAGACTTTTTAATTATGTCAATGTAAATTTCCCAAAGAGTTGTGAAACGTGAGCTCAAGAACTACAGACTTTAAAGATCGTTTACGATTTGTGCATACCTTTTAATGATGTCTTCTTTTGACAATTATTAGGACACTCTTGGTCGCTTGTAACTCAAATCAAGTTGGATATTTTCAAAAGTTATTTTTTATGCACCTAAAATCTGCTCGTCTATAATCTCGAAACGCAGAGTTTTATAACTTATTTTTATTTTTGTCAAATAATAACATATATATATAATTTTTTTTTTTAATTTTTTGTTTAATTTGCAGAAACATCCGTTAACGATGCTGCCATTATAAATTATCCATTAACCGCTGCCGCATTGGCGCCACGTGATCGCGAACGGGATCGTGAAATACTTTCAATGCAACTCGTGATGCAACAATTGAAAATGGACAATGAAAATTTGCGCAAGCAGCTGGTAAATGCAAAAGAAAATGCCGAAAGTTATAGGTAAATAATTTAAAATAATATTTTCCATGCATTAATTAATTATGTTTTCATATTTTTCATATAGACAAAAGTGCAAACAGGAAAATGATGTGCTGCGTTCTTATCTAAAAGCGGCACAAGATGATATAACCATACTTTTGGAGGAGAAAAAGGCATTACTCGATACGATACGTTCACTGCAAGTGAGTTTGAATTAACAAAAACTTCCACAAGTAGCAAAGAAAATTAATATATTTACCTAAACGTTTACTGTTCACTTTGATGTGCTTAAGATATTTACATCCTTCTCTATCTATCTATCTACACGAGCCCTAAACGAACGCGCACAACACACCACGAAAATTTTATAAAAAAAAAAAAAAACGATGAAGATAAGAAATAAGTTTTTGCTCGCGTTTGCTATGGTCAAAAAGCACACATTCAACAGCATTAGACATTTTTTGTACGCGTTGTGTTTTAATTTAGAGTTCCAAAGCATTTTTTTACATATAAATCAAAATTTTTTAATTTTTTTTTTGTTCTTAATTTCTCCAAAGCTTGAGTATGATTTTTTCTATCTAAGCTAAGAATTTCTTCTACTATCTTCTGCTATTAATTTTCTTTTACTTACTCTTCACCACACAACCTAATGTGTCTGTTTTCTATTTAATACATGTTTTTGCAATAAAATAAAAAAACAATAAAATCCTGATATTTTGATGTTAAAAATAAACTAAATAAAACAACAGTTGAATCTGAATTCTCTCAACATTTCTGATGCAAGGAAAAAAGGTCAGTTTTTTATGACTAAATAAGAAAGCAAAGTAGAAAAAAAGAATTGCACTTGCAGTTTGCTTTTTCATTTGTAGTTTGTAGGAAAATAATATTAAATAAAATAATGCTTATTGTTAAATTAATTAACTTTTTTTTTAAATAGTTTTAAGTGCACCAGCTTGCATTTGCATTTGAAAATTGCATAATAAAAATGTAGCATGTTAATGAGTATGTATCATTTTTGGTGCACAAACAAACGAAGAATTGGCAATTAAAATATTGAAAGATTGGTTTTAAAAAGTGCGCATACATACATTTAAATATAATATTTGCTGTGACTTATAAACAAAAACACTGCTTATTTTTTCAAGTATGAGCTTACAGATTTAACTTATACATTAATTTTACTTATACATATATATATATATATATATATAAATATGACACAGCATGTAAGAATGCTTTAAGTAAAAATAATAATATTTTTTTGAGTTGTAAAGCAGTTTGAGGGTAAAATGTATGTGATTAAAGCTACATTCAGATGTATATTTGTATATCATAGTGCATAAAGTTTTCCGGCTTTATAGCTTAGCAGCGACCTATTTTGGTGGCCGATCCCCTGAGAATTTTTACTTTAACTCAAATTAAATGCATTTAAAACAAAAATTTTTCATGAAATTCATTTTTATTATAAAGTTTAAACCATGACATTTAATTTATGTGAAACACCACGTTCTTCAAATCGCTAATTTTCGGCAACAGCGATCAGTTAACGGTAATTTCAGACCAGATATTGGTTTTCAAATGATATAAAGTTAAACGTTTAACGTAAGCTCCCACTATACCGGTGGTCAATTGACACGAGACTACGCGGCCGGGAAATTTCCCTCACAAAACAATATTTGTAACCGTTACAATCTCTTCAAATTTCTTTAAAATTTTACTTACTTAAGTGCTTAAGTGCACTTTTTCTTAATCTCCTCCTACAGCATGAAATGTGATCATATTCGAATAACTATTTTCCTAGTAGGTTTTACTTTTTTTAAGGCGTTGTTCTTTTGTTAAGCAATCAATTTTCATAAATGCCTGACTTTTAACTAATACAAATCATGTTTGATTTGACAGATATCAAAATACAGCCCTGTACTTTTCAAATTACGGTGCCACCAACATCCAAAAGCTGTAGAAAATTAATTTAAATAAAAAATTAAGTTAAATTTTTTAATTGCGATCGCCCGTCGACAGGAAATGTCCACCCCTCTGAGCGTATTTTGGGCATGAAATAGAGGCTCCACGTAAAAAAAAAACCATCAGGCGTTCGGAGGGGGCTTAGTACTGTATGTTCCTCCATTTGTAGGAAAATCTTCAAGACGCAAATCCACAAATTGGAAGAGAGCTCCTCTTGGCCGAAAAATCGCTTCAGCGGGTCCAATTATAATATATATATATATATATACATAGACAAAATAGTTAGCCCGATAAGTTCGTCTGTAAAAAAAATGTAATTCAGATAACTCGAAAACTGCAGCAGCAGTTGATTTTTGTACATTAGAGCTAGGATTCATTTACTTCTTTAATCTCATTTATTTCCTTACCTCTAAAACTCACTTAACTATTCTTACTTAGCATTCATATACTGTGATACTTCATATAAGTCCCTCTACTATTCCCATCTGCTTTTATAGTTTTTATTTACATATTATTTATAATAATAATTTTTTTTTTTTAATTTTTTTTCCACTTTTCAAATTCAATTATGCTTGAAAGTATAATATAAACAAAAAAAACATATATATATTAAATAATTAAATTTTATTAAAGCTAAATATCGCGCCAAATACTCAATCAAATAATGCTATAAATATATTTGTATTTGTATTTTTTTTTTTTTTCAAATCCCCACTCGCCGTTTAATCGCCTCGCCGCATGTGTGTTGTGTAGGTTCAACTGACATCATCGAATATAAATAGAAAAAGCGATGGCAACAGGTAGCATAACTGTATGGATTGCATACAATGCTGTGGCGAGAATAACAATCCATGAAATACAATGCAACAGCCAATAACAACAACAACGGCTACAACATCGAGAGCAATTAGTGCGAGAGCGAGAGCTGGGAGAACAGCAACATCACCAACACCACCAACAACAATAACAACAACACCAACAACAACAACTGCAGCAACACGCAGGCGAAGTAGGCTAAGTAATATATTCTTCTTTCCGCCACTCTTCAAATCGTGCCAAAGAATGCGCAAAACGCCAAGAGAGCATTGAAATCGAAGGTGTTTCTTTTTTTAGTTTTTTTCTTCAAAAGAACAGTTATGGAAATAAAATTTGTGTAGGCAAAAATAAAGCAGAATGTGAAGTAATTACAAATAATGGAATTTGTGACTTACATACATATATGTATTTTCATAATTTACATAGTTATTTTAAAATTTTTTTTTGTGTAATAATTTGAATTTTTGTATATGAAAATGTGTTTAGTTTTTTTTTTTTTTGGTTTTTTTTATGTAAATAATTAAAATTTATTGAAACTGTTTTTAAGACTGGATATCGCTTTGCGATGTTTTTTTTTTCAAGAAAATTAAACTTATACACATATGTATGTGCTCAATAAATGTGTTTCTTGCTTAGCAAATTTATATTAAATAACGTAATAATATTTATGGCACTCGTGCATGTGCTCAATTGGTTTTTTTTAATTGTTTATAATTTAAAAATATTTTTTTAGATTCATTATAGGAGCAGATTAAAAAAAAACACCAGTGCTGCGATAAGCTTATAATTAATTTGCTGTTTTTATAATACTAATGTTGAAAGTTGGAAAACTTATAAAATGCGTTCATTTTTTTTTTACTAGAAGTAGAGTTTTATATGGTCAGGGGAGAGTATCGTAATTTATGAAACTTCTGAAAATGTCATTTTCTGTCAAAACAATTCCAATAGCTACTACCTTTAATTTTTGTGTCTTGTATTTTTGGGTCATGTGTAGTTCCAAATTTTTTATATAAAAAATTAGTTTGAATATTCGTTATATGATATGGAAAAATCAGCATCACACAAAAAAAAAATTAAAATTGTCTAGTAAAGTACTTTCTTATCTTATTTTTAAGCCTGTTTCAAATTGATTGTCACGATAACATAAAATTTTTAACTAAAAGTACTTTCATTAACCAACTAATTTAGTTTGAAATGACAAACCGCAAGATATTCTACCATTTTTATGACTTTATGGAAATTTACTTTATGCAAACTCTGTGTTTTGAATTATGATATATGTTTATATTCTTTATTTTCCAAATACTTTGTTATCGAAAAAAAATGTGAAAATTAAAAGTATTTTTTTAAGTTACGTGAAAGTTAAAATGATTCAAAATTGTAAAAAAAAATTTAAAATAAATATTATTTTTGTCAAGAAAGTATCTCTGCTTTAATATAATTTTAAAGAAAATTTTGATTTTAAAACCGATCGAATGACTCATTATTTATGTGAAAATTTTGATTTTCGAACTGTCTGAATTACTCACCATTTACGTATTTCTTAAAACATTGCCACCCAATTTAATATTTCACACTATATATTCATTATAAATGCCGTTATTTGTCTTATAGAACATTATATACAAATCGTTGTGATTTACTATCATATCAATAACCGTATGTAAAGAAGAAATAAAAATAAATAATAAATTAATAAATATATTAAAATATATATAAAATCGTAAAAAACCGAATACGTTTTGGTAGTAAGAACTAGTTAAAAATAATATATTACATTCTTAATTAAAACAAAAATTAAAAAAAAAAAAAATCGATGTGTATACATACATATGTTGTCGTTCGTATTTGCATAATTTGCTAAAAAATTATACAGTAAATACTTATAGTTGCTTAAGCTTTTGATAACGAAACACGAAATGTATAAATATTTGAGAAAATTATATGTGATTACTGCTTATTAAATAACTGTGAAAAGAAAGGTATAAAATATTTTTTAAATTTGCTTGAAGAAAGTTATTGCCTTCCTTCAATTTGCCTACTCAGCTGTGGGTTTTGTTAAATATCTAATTTTTAAATAAATAAAATTTTTTGGCATTGTTTTTTTTTTTTAATTATTTTTTAATATATATTTAAAAACTTGTAATATGTAAAAGTAAAATTTTATAAAACTTTAGCACGCTTTTCGGCATTTTAATAATAAGTTTTTTTACGATATTTTCGCAGAATTTTTTTTTTTTACCATAATGCATTAAAGTTCTAACGAAATAATGAATATCTTTTTAATGCCTTTTATATTTCAATTAAAACCATTATTTTCAACGTACATATGTATGAATGGTGGTCCAGCTGCTTCGCACCTGTTCTATTGTTTTCGTAAACCTTTATTTTTTACGATTATTTTATTTTTTTTTGCCTGTTTTTTTAATTGTATACTATTTAGTTTCTTTGTATTATTTTATTTTATTTATTTTTATTTTTTATTTTAATATCCATTTATTTATTTTTACTTCATTCTAATTTATTTTGTAATATTTTTTTAAATTTCGCTTATATATATTTGAATTAAATTTATTTTATTTTTGTTCTATATCATTTTCGGGGGTGTTTCAGTAACAGATTGTTGTCAGGATCAGAATTGAAACCGACAACATTCTGCTAAAGGTGTTAGACATTCCGATTATCGATTTGCTTATCGGTTCCATTTTCGATACAGAATTGCAAGCGGAAATTTAATAATAATATAAGTCATGAACAATGAATTTTACAACCAGCAATGCATGCTTTTGTAAGAAAAGGTCACAAGCTCTCCGCTTTTCATTGTCGTTCATTCCTAAAATTAATCATCGTGGGCAAATCAAACGTTCAAAAGCCTTTAGCATCGAGGCTGTAGACCGTTAATGATAGAAGTCTTTTGCCAAAAGCCGCGGTGTGGCTGCAAGTTGGAGCACAAGTGGAATATACAGCCTATTTAACTGGTCTTCAATGATATCCTGGCCTATTGCAAAAGCTTCTTTGTTAAGACGACATTGGTCTATGAATATACATACAAAATTTGTATCAGCAAAGGTAAAAGTAGAATGCAAATTGCACTTACATCGACCCTGGCAGCTCCAGCGGATTGCTCTTATCCCTTAAAATGTTGCGCTTTATTTTCTGGTTGGTGTCTCTAAATCTTTCTATCATCAAACATGCTATCACTGCCGAAATAATTTTATTTTAATTAATAACCACAAATGTTTTAAAACTAGTACAAAAATTATATTGAATTAATGGATTTTTTGCACAAGTGTGATGACAGCTGATTTGAATATCGGTTCTGCTTATCTTCGAAAGAAGCAAAATCAACTGGGTTTCATAACACGATTTCAAACAGATATTGATTTTCAATTCCGATAAATAAGCAATTCTGTGCCGGTTTTTATAACACCCCTGTTTGTTAAATTTATTTTATTTAATTTTTTTTTATTTTCTACTACTTTATTTTTTATTTAATTTCATTTTTTCTTGTTTATATTTTTTTTATTTGGTTTTGTTTGGCTTTGTTTCATTTCATCTATTTTATTTTTTAATATTTCTTTTATTTTATTCAGTTTTTAGTTCTAATTTTTTATTCTTTCATCTAATTTTTTATTTTATTTATATTTATTTTATTTTCTTCTGATTTATAGTTTATATTAATTTATATTGTATTCTAAGTATATATTTTTTGCTTTATTTTATTCCATTTTATTTGATATAACTTGAATTCTTGTCATATTTTATTTAATTTATTATTATATATTATTTTTTATGTAAAGACATTATGTTTAGTATATTTATTTATTTTTATTTTATTTGCTTATTTATTTACTTTTTTGAGATTTCGTTTCTTGGCAGGCATATTAAGTCCACATGAGGCCAAAGTACTCTTCTAATTATTGATTTAAAATATGCGATATTCTTCACAGTCGCGATGTCGTTTTATTGAGTTCCTGTGATTGGTTTCCTGTCTTTTATTTTTAAACGATTGTAATTTCTTGCGTTGGATGAAAGTGTGATCAGCAGTTTTCACTGATTAAGTGTCTGTGTATTTCAGGAATGTGTTTGGCAATATTTTGTATGTTATCTGTTGGTATTGGTATTTTTAATTGGAATTCCGCGGGCACTATATTTATGCACTATATTTATTTAATTAAGAAACCATGTGGCATTGTTTAGGTGTATTGAAACCCTTATAAATAAATCGTCAATTTTTTTTTTCATTATTAATTTTGTTTGCCAGATTGAGCGTAGTGGTACAGGTTGATTAATTTTAATAATAAAAAAATTAGTGTAATTTAATTTGGATTTTTGTAGAAAGTTGGTCAGTTAAGTTATTTTGGTGGTCTAAGTATTTCTAAGAAACTTTTGTGGTTGTTGAAAATTCAGAATTTAGCGCTATCTTCCATGAATGGCCGGCAGTAGAATGTTTGAGGCCGTACAGGAAACCACAAAAGTTAAAAAAAGACATGGAAATCACCAGAATCCCAATTTATGATGAATAGTTGATATAAAGCCGTTTTCAAAAAATATGTACATATATACTTTTTCATAACATTAAAAGACGCACACGAGCATTCGCGCTCGTTGGCAAAATCGAAGTGTAGTTTATTAAAAAAACTTTTATTTTTTAATTTTATTTTGTTATATTCTTAATTTTATGTTATTTATTGTTTTTATTATTTTTTCTTTGTAAGCCTATTTTAGTTTTATTTTATTTCATTTATATTATTTTAATTAAATTCATTTAATTTTTTTTTTGTTTTATTTTAGTTTTTACTTTATTTCACTTTATTTGATTTGTTTTTCTTTTGTCTTTATTTTAATTTTTTTTTTGGTTTTGTTTAATTCAATATATTTTAATTCATTTATTCAAATCTATTTATTTTTTGTATTTAGATCTAGTTCACTTCATTTGATATTGCATCTCTTAATACGAATTTCGTGTTCTATTTTATTTTATTTTTTATTGCGTATTATTTTTTACTTAATTTAGTTCGTTTTTGTTTTAATTTATTTTATATTTGATTGTATTTTGAGTAATTTTTTTTTTATTTTATAATGTATTATTTTTTTTTTTCATTTTTTTTAATCCACTTTATTTGATATTACATTTTAAAGCGCATTTCTTGTCAAATTTTATTTTTTAGAATATTATATACATATTATGTTTTATTTAATGTTAATATGTTTTGTTTCAATTTATTTTTTTTTATATTTTATTTAATTTATTTAAATAAATTTATTTATATAGTTTTTAATATTTTATACCGTTTAATTTTTTTTGTTTTTTATTTAATTTATTTTTTAATTGACTTTATCACACATTTCTAACACAAATTTCTTGTGTTAACGCGATAAAATAAAAATATTTTTCAATTCCATTTTATTTAGAAAATATTAAAAAATCTTGTTGCATAAGAACTATTGAATTATATTATTTAAATACGTCCATTCCTGTGCTATAAAGGGTTTATAAAACAAGAAGCATTTGTGTGTTATGTATGAATATCGAATTAAGCCGATTGAAATCATTAAAATTTTCTTCTCCAAAAAGATTAGCTTTAAATCTAATCAAATAAATTATAATTAGTGCAGATTAAAAAATAATAAAAAAATAATAAAAAAAAATAAAAATCCATGTGTTTATTAAAATCAAAATAGATAAATTTAATTGAAACATAATACAAAAACATTACAAAACATAAAACAAAAAATGTTAAAAGAACAAATATTTTAATTAAAAGGATTAAAAAAAATTTTAAAAAGTATAGAAACGGTAAATAAAATGATAACAACTATTCAAATCGCCTATTCATATACATAAAAAAATTTAAATATACAAAACATATACTAAATACGTTAAAATAAAACAAATTATATGCATGTATGTATGTATCATGAATTTTAGCATATTTTAAGATTATATATATATATATTTTGTAGCTAGGAAATTATATTGAAAACAAAAACTTATATTAAATAAAAAAGTGCAAACTACGTAACGATTTGCATATTCTAACAAGGACACTTACATACATACATACATACATACATACATGCATACATATATAAAAATGAAAGCAAAGATTTTAAAAAGATATTAACGCAAAATCATTGAAAAAAAAATCAAATTTAAAACTTAAGTCAACCTTCAACCTCATAAGTGTCGAACGAAACAACAACGTTATTTGAATGTATTTCAATTTTATAGTTATAACATTGTATGTGTGTGCAATTAATATATGCAAAATTGAAGCAGTGAATAAACGTAAATAAACAGTTAATAAAATATTACTTATACCTACATATAATATATATAAAGCAACCGCAAAATGTTTAGATATTGGAATTGAAAATGAAAATCAAAACGTAAATAAATTTAATTAGCAATACATTTGAAAACATTTTAAATACATTAAAAAATATATATATATATATATATAAATATATAATATATTATAAATAAAGAGAAATTGTAAAATTTAGTTAAAAGAAAAATAAATTAAAGAATTATTGCTCGTACTCATCACACATAAATGCATAGCAATATGCATGTAACACACATACATAGTTTCCTCAATAGTTTTTTAAAACAAGGTTAAAAATTACTTACATACATATGTACATCTAAATGCTAAATACAAAGGCAATATTACATTTGTATGCATGCTACATATGTACATACATACACACATACTAAATAATTAAAAGAAAATCAAAAACTATATTATTGTTGTTCCAAATTAAAAAGGAAATCTGAACCAAAATGTGTATATTTGAATTTATAAAATTGCCTAAATAAAAATATGATAATTATAAAATGTGGAGAGCAGTGTTTTAATGGCAAATAAATTGCTTAATTCATTGGAGGAAGAATAAAAACAAAATTAAGTGCATTTAAATTTGATAAATATATTTATTTCTTATAATCATTTTCTATATTTCATTTTATAAAATTTCATTAATCTCACTTATTATATAAAAAAAAAATTATTTATTCCATAATATAATATTATTAAAAAAATTAATTTACAAATATATACTTATACATACAAAAAGGAATTCATTATTCGATCACATTTACTAAAAATATCACATATACATATAAACAATTTTCATTGCACAAATTAATGGGTCTAAATTAATCATATGATTAATCTTTGCTCCAAGACACAATATTCTTCAATCACGACACAACGCCAACTGTATCAGCGGCAAGACTTTTATCGATGACAAATCCGCTAATATTGCCTCTATATTATCCAGTGATGTCACTTGCATGAGACTATCTTTGCGAAAACTTAAAATTATGATGGCAAAGAGTGAGAGCACTTCCAGGCTGTCGTAGCCGAGTATCTGCAAAAAAAAAATAATAATAAAAAATAATGAAAAAATAAGTAAATAAAATAAAAAATAAAAACCATAAAACTAACAGAAAATATATATACATTTAGTTCTTAGTAATACATATATGTATTATGACGCACCAAATCCCACAAAATAAGCAACTGATCAGGCGGCAGATGACCACTAAAGGCACGCATAAGCCATTTGAAGACGACGCGTATGCTAAAAGGTGAATGAAAAAAAGAGAATTAAATTAAGTGTTCCTGTGAAAGTATGATTTTCTTTATTTATTGGACGTTAAAAAAATAAAAAAGCAGAAAAATTAAATATTCCCATGATTTTTCACATATTTTTTGGTGTATGATGCGATGTCATGTGACATAGCTACGTTTTCTTTTATGTTCATAGCGGTTTTCTTTAATATTATTACAACGCAAAAAAAAAAAAAAATGAGAAAAAATAATGAAAATTGTTGGAAAATGAAATATATTTGTATATATACATGATTTTTTATATATTCTAATGTATGACGTGATGTCAAGTGACATAGTGTGATGCGATATTTTTAAGTCTATGGAGATGTTTTGAATATTTTAATAACTAAACAAGTATAAAAAAAGTAAAATGAAAAGTATTTAGTTATACATGATTTTTCATAAACTCTCTAGTGCCATGTGTGATGTGATGTCATGTAATGTGACATAATATTATTTCATATACAATATTAAATCATTTTTTAAATATTGGTGTTTAATAAATCTTCCATGTATTATTCCTTAAAAGCGTTGATTTTATATGATGCTATGTGCTCAGATTACATATAATCTTATTTGATGTAGTGATTTGAAATACATAAACAGAAATTAGGAGGAACTGGGCCGTAGAATCGTTTCAGCGGTTACAAAGCGCCAATTATTTATATGTATATAAACACAAATCATCATAATTCATAAAATCGACAGAAAAATAGATTTTGATTTTCATATATTCTTAGCGTACGATGTGATGTAATGTATATTGTGTGATAATACTTTTTTATGTGATGTCATATGATATTAAACACGATTTGATAAATGAATGGTTTGTTTTGTGATAATGATTTTATGCATTTTTCCGCGACGTAATGTTTTTAATGTACTTAATGTAATGTGTACATATGCCCGATGACAAAATTTTAGTGTAGGCCATTCTGATATGACAATATAATGTAAAACATAATAAATTTGATAGACGTGATGTTTGATATTTTTATTTGCATTTTAAGAATTATAATATTTTTTTTAAGCGATGTGATACCTCTTATATAAAGCTCATATATCGTGTGACCTGAGTGGGTTTGACGATGTGTGAATGATGTGATGTAATGCATACAGTGTGATGTGATATTTATGAAGTGATATCATATGAAGTTGTTCATATCAAAAACCCGATTTGGGATTTTGAGTTGTCTATTAAAGACGTTAATAAAGTTTAAGGTTTTTTTTTTTTTTAAGAGTGATGATATGAGGTAATATATTCAGATGTTATATGACATTATTTGGTGTGATGATGTGATTTGATGTATCGAAAAATTGTTTTATTAACGAAATAGCATTAGGGATATTATTTATTATTATTTATTATTTATTTATGATGTGATTTGATATAAGCTATGACATAAATAATAAAAAGTGAACTAATATACGGCACGCGCATGCCTTGAATGTTTTATGACTCGACTCTATGATATGATGTGATGTAATGTGATATGTTGTGTAAAATGTCAAATAAAGTAAATTGTTATTGTTTCATCATACCAAATATATATTGAATATGGACTAATGGTGTGATTATTTCACAAAATCACAAGTTAAAAAAATAAACAAATTTAATGGTGTCATATGATGACATGATGATGATGTGTACACAAATTGAAAATGAGCTGACTTGATACAATTTAATTACATATAAATGTGAAAGGTAAAAATATGATATTATTTTAGGACCTGCTATGACATCAAATGATATAAAATAGAGATGTATCATTCCAATGTAATTACACTGCTATGATGTGATGATGTGTGATACGACATCACGTAACATGCTAGAGGTTGAATTTGTGCCTTTTTTTTTTTTGAAATTTGCTATATATTACCAAAAACTAATATATTCTTACGGTTGTATTTGCAGCTCGCGAAAATGTGACCACAACTGCGGTTCGTGCGTTTGCAGCAGTTTCTCAAACAACAGGCATAAGCTAACTATCCCCTGCTAGAACAAAGAGTGAGGGTATAAATCTAATGATATATGTGAAGTCTACAACAACCCACCTGCGGATGTGTATTTATTGTGGTCAAGCGATGACAGTAACGTATGTAGAAAGCTCGAAATGTAAAGTATAAATTTATTGACGAATCATAGAGATAACAAAATGGCGCCGCTGAAAAACAAATAGAGGACAGTGAAGTGACAAAAGTAGAAAAAATTCAAAACCAAAATTTACCAAACATACAAATGCCATGAAAGGGCACCACACCCGACGGCGGTCCATCATAGTTTCTACCCTTCACTGGATACTTTTCAAACTGAATTTGACTTGCGATTTCCGTGTCGCGCGAAAAGCAAAGCATTATCTGATAGAGCACATCTTCGAAAACGAAATATTGATCGTCATTTGAGGCTGTCAGCTGGATGTCTTTGAAAATTAATTTATCAACAATGTGGTCGGTGGTTAAGACTTTGTTGCGTAGGCGTGCCCAATGTTCGCATTCCTTTAGTGGTGAGTAAAAATTATTATTATATTAAGTAATTATTAAAAACAAAATATGAGCTTTTGTGTTTGACCATAAGAGATCAATAATCTCAGTGAGAATCGAATTTTTGTAACTCACCTGTCCGTGCATATCATTGCCATGCGATAGCACAAATGACCATAATTCACCACGAAATGGCGCTGGTGTTTTGCCCTTCTTGAGAAAATGTTGACAGAGTGGCGATTGCTTGGTCTCCAGTATGCGTTTACATTGCGTCGGTAAATCTAAATTAGTGGTTGTGGCATCCTTGCGAAAGAGCTCAGCGAAGAGCAGACGCTTGGAAATTTTAAAAGAAGAAAAAAAATATTAATAATTATAAAAAAATGGTTACAAGTAGAAATTTTAGTTAAACATTCAAACTTTTTTTTCGATTAATTTAAATTTCGATTAACGATTAATCGGTTTCTTGCACTGATCAATTGATTCTTAATTTTAACTGGTTGTGCCGACTTACCAATTCAAAAAGATTCTTAACCGGCAATTCAATGTGTGAGAATTCCCAATTTGGTACTTGTCTGTAAAGAGGAAAAAAATATTTTTAGTTTTCAAAAGGTATTTGTAACAAAAAAAAAAAATAACTTATAAGCAGAAAATATACACAAACTCAGTATCTTCCACTGGTTTTTGTGGCCCTTTCAGTGAGAGAAGAACATCCAAAAGATCTTTAGGCGCATAGACGGGTCGATAGTTGGAGAGATCTAAAAAATATAGAAAGAATTTATCGTAAATTAATATAATATAAACTGAGAAATATATTAAAATTTTATAGGACAAAAAACCCGACTCACAGCCAGGATATGTGAGGTGTCACTGGTTACCATATTTTTGACTCATTTAAATATAAATATTTGGCGCTTTGTAACCGCTGAAGCGATTTTCGGCGGAGCTTCTCCTCCAATTGGTAATTTTGTGTCTTGATATTTTTCTAACAAATAGAGGGAGCTACAGTTTATTCTAAGCTGCCGCCGAACGGCTGATGGTTTTTTTATGAGGAGCTTTATTTAATGTCAGAAATACGCTCGGAGGCCTTGGCATTCCCTGCAGAGGGGCGACCGCAATTAGAAAATTTAACATAATTTTTTATTTAAATTAATTTTCAATGACTTTTCGGTGTTGGTCGCATGGTGATTTGAACCCAAGCCTTCCGAATGACAGTACGCAATGCTAACCACACGGCTCATAGTTCATTATTTTTGCTGCTAAACATGAGGACCTTAGATTCTTATTTTCTTAAGGGGATATAACTCGTCTTGGCTTTTATTCGACAAGAATATTGATTTTCTGTTATTTTTTTTATCAAGTTGGCGGTAAGAGCTCCACTTATGCTGGTTCCTATAAATTGGAAGGTCTAAAGAATGTTTCGAGATCCCCTAACGTACCTTTGTATTCGATTAGATGCGCTACGATTTTTGGGCATACTCTCCTTGGTCTTTTGGTGGAGTATTCCCGATTAAGTTTATGTAAGGCAATCAAGGAGGTTTGGGCAAGCTTTAATTGTTGCAATGTGACCGGCTACTATTCTGGCAAGCCATGGGAAAGTAGATATCTACAGTTAAGGGCGATCCTCTATTGATCCGGTTAACAGAGAGACTTGGCGGACCATCAAATGGGTTCTCCAGGAATTGTAGAGAAGAGAATGAACCTTAAAATTTAATTAGCTTTTTTCGAAAGCGATTTCTTTTGGAGGATTAGGATGAACGTTCCAAAGGAGGAACGAAGAATCGTGAGCAAAATACAGCCATTACTTGGTTTTGTGAATCCCATAGAATAGTTTGACTATCGTGAGGGGGCTCTTAGGAACAACAGCGGCATCAATTGGGCTACTTCAATCGAAACTAAGCTGACGTTCTTTAATTCACCATGTTAGTTTAAAAACTTAGCTGAAAGGTACCAATCGAAACAGTTAGCAACGACAGTTGCAGAATATATATCGATCGTGTACACGCCTTGTGTCTCGTGATCCCGCTGTTTTCTAGTACCCACAGCAGGGACTTAGTCTAACTTTCAGTGGGAGTTTCAAATATATTTTAAGGTATTTGGCTCTAATCGCTTTTATTAATACAGTCAACGGTTATTAGTTACTAATTTAGTTGGACGAGTGCCTACTGGTTTTCAATACTATTACTCTATATAACTACACTTTTTATTCGTGACAACACGAAGGGTAACTACCGTCAAGAAGCGCAGTTCAAGCTCGACGATTTCAACTGCTTAGATTACGAGAGTCGCTTGAGATGTTTCTTTGCTACTGATAACTATGTGGTACGAACGAGTGGATCCGAATATAGATGTCTCGGATAAGTTTGCTTATTGTAGATCTCCTTAAGTTATTTACATAATCCTTCAAAGAAACTCACTCACCTATCGTATAATTACTCAACTCTTCCCATTTACTAATCAACTCATCACGATCTATAACCGTGCGCGGTTGCCCCTGCAGTGGCATACTCAGCTCAGCACACATGGCATTCAAACTTTTACGCACACGTCGATCCCATTGTACGGCGGAGCGTCGCAAGTACGCCAAGGGATCGGTGCCATGTGCTAGTTTCTCCTGCGACTTGGGCTCTGTGATGAGTGTGTTGCGCACTAAATGAAAGACAATATTACGAATTTCCGTTTCGAGTCCTGTCGATTTGATAGCGTCCTCCAGTGTGTTGCGTAGGTCATGCTTATCCACGCCGGGACTGCATGCGAGTTGCTGGAAAGGTATAACATTTTTAAACCGTTCAAAATAACTTTTGCTTTATACATTGGTTTAGTAAAATGGAATACATTATTTTAACAATAGTTAGCTTTAGTGATCTACGAGTATATCTCGCGATGATATTTTGCACCTAAAAACCTGAGAAGTGTTGATCACTTAACTCAGTGGTGTTTGAGCGCAAAGGGGATGAAACCTCAAATAAGGTATGTGAAAATGTTAAGGTTGCTACGGTTCTGATTCTCTAAGAGTTAATCATGCAAAATTTTGGTTTCATCGATATATTTCCGGTACTTTTGGTGTAGAAGATATGCTGAGGTGTGGAAGACCAATTGTGGAAAATGTCGGTAATACAATGGAAATCGCCTAGTTTGACCATCATGCGAGCACTCTTTCGATTGCCCAGGAGCTTAATATTGCACAAAAAACAGTTTGGAACCACTTGAAAAAGGCTGGGTTCACAAAGAAGGTCAAAGTTTGAGTTGACAAGAAAAAACTTCATGGCACGAATTTTCACCTGCGAATCGCTGCTGAATCGTAACAAAATCGTTGCATTTCTGAAGCGGATGGAGACTGGTGATGCAAAATGGATTATTTATAGTAACGTCAAACAAAAACGGTCGTGGTCGCGGAGCATTGACAATCTGCAAGTCAAGATTGACAGACGAAGATGTTTTGTTGTGTATTTGATTGGATTGGCAAAGAAATAATACACTATGAGCTGTTGCCCATTGAGCAAACCCTTAATTTAGACCTGTACTGTCAGCAATTAGATCATCTGAAGGAAACAATTATACAGAAGCGCCCAGCTAACAGCAGGAGAATTTTGTTTCATCAGGACAAATGAGACCACACACACCAATAGTGACTCGCCAGAAGCTCCGAGATCTTCGTTAGGAAGTTCTTTAGCATCCATCTTATAATTCAGACCTCGCACCAAGTGACTTCCATCTGTTCCAATCTATGACAAATAATTTTGCTGCTGAAAAAATGGACTTACGAGCAGCATGTGAAAATCGGTTGACTCAGTTTTATGCCAATTGGTTTTCTATGACAGCGCCATAATGACATTACCGTAAAAATGCCAAAAAAAAAAATTTCGTAAAATCGTGGAATCGGATAATGAAGCGAAGCGTTCAATGCAAAAATAATGGATTACCTTTTACTAACCTTATATTTCAAGCCATTTCGTCTAGAAGTGGCAATTTACCTGCACTTTTTTGAAAATCTCTTCATAGTTTTTCATCGCTTTGATGGCGTGCGCCAGCTTTTGCGCCGTGTGATGTATACTTGCATCGCGTAACTGCTCCATTTCGCTTTGGGAAAATGTATAATTTAATAATTTTTCAATTAATAAATATATATTCGCTGTTGTAAAAGGTGTGTGTGCTTTCAATTTTGTACGCAAAATCTTTTTGCTCTTCTGCCATTTATCGAATTGCTATACAAAAACTTTTTCCGTTTATTGTTTTTCAAAATTTTTATTGTTTGTTATTTGACTGTTTCCTGATTTTGTGACATAATTTTGTGTTTATCGATTAAACAGTCGTGAATGAAATTTCTTCGAATTCCTCAAGTCGTTGTCATGGAATTTGCGGGTGTTAATTATCGTTCATACATAAAAACATGTGTTTTTAATCGATAATATACGGTGTGTCCCAAAAATAACCGAGCTTTTTGGATATAAAATAAAATACACATTATATTATCTTTGAAAGTTATTATTTATTTAAAATACGTGTGGATTCCATTTGATTCAACACAACGTTTGGAACGATCAACCAGCGCATGCATAGATTTTTTTATGTCATTTATATTGGGTTACCCAAAAAGTAATTGCGGATTTTTTAAAAGAAAGTAAATGCATTTTAAATAAAACTTAGAATGAACTTTAATCAAATATATAATTGCCATTTTGTTCGATAACCTTTTGCCATCTTCCTGGCAAATTTAGTATTCCACGCTTATAGGACTTCTGGCCTTAATCTGCAAAAAACTGAACCAAGTGCGATTTTATAGCCTCATCATTGCCGAAAGTTTTACCATAAGGAGTTCTGCAAAGATCGAAATAAATGGTAGTTTGATGGTGCAAGGTCAGAGCTATATGGTGGATGCATCAAAAGTTCCCAGCCAAGCTCACTCAGTTTTTGGCGAATGACCAAAGATGTGTGCGGTCTAGCGTTGTCCTGGTGGAATATGACGCCTTTACGATTGACCAATTCTGGTCGCTTCTCCTTGATGGCTGTATTCAATTTGTCCAATTGTTGACAGTAAACATCCGAATTAATCGTTTGGTTCCTTGGAAGCAGCTCAAAATATACACCCTTCCAATCCCACCAATCAGACAGCATAACCTTCTTTTGGTGGATATCAGCCTTTGAAGTAGTTTGAGCTGGTTCACCATGCTTGGACCATGATCGTTTTCGACTGACGTTGTTGTAAACAATCCATTTTTCATCTCCACTTATGATTCGTTTTAAAAACGGATCGAATTCATTGCGTTTAAGGTGCATATCACAAGCGTTGATTCTGTGTTAAATGAATTTCTTTCAATACATGTGGTACCCAAATATCAAGCTTTTTCACCAGTCCAAGACTTTTTATGTGATAATGAACGGTTGATTTTGGTATATTTAACTTCTCTCCTATCTCACGCTCAGTTACATGACGATCCAATTCGATTATTGCTTTGATTTGGTCATCATCAACTTCATTTGGCCGACCTCATCTTAAGTGAAAAATCTCCAGAACGGAATTTGCGAAACCAATTTTGACACTGTCTTCCTTTTAAGGCTTCATCACCATACACATCTCGTAACTTTTTAGCAACCTGCTCCGCAGTTTTTTCCTTTACGGAAATAATAAAGTAAAATATGACGAAAATGCTCCTTTGTGGGCTCCATATTAAAATTGACGCCAAACAAACAAATGTAAACAAAATTTCGCGCACTTTTTTTCTAAAGCAAGCTAAAAGTAACAGCTGATAACTGACAGAAGAATGCAATTACAGAGTCACAAGCCGTTGAAAAAATTTGTTCAACGCCGACTATATGAAAAATCCGCAATTACTTTTTGGGCAACCCAATAGAAATGTTCTTCAGTACCTCGGTAACGGCTGCTTAAATGGTTGGTTTTCAGTTTTGGAAATAAAAAATAGTCACATGGTGATAGATCAGGGGAATGCGGAGGATGGTTGATGAGAGAAATTCCTTTTTTCATTAAAAATTCGAGCGATTTTTTTCGTCATTCAATTCATGTGGAACAAATCGCGCACAGACCTTTCTTTTCCCCATATCTTCAGTTAAAATTCTCCAAATAGTGTTTTTACTCGAATTCAGTTCCTCAGCCAACATTATCGTGGTAAAATTTGCATCGATACCAATGATTTCACGGACTTTTTCCACCAGTTCAGCACGATTACTAGCTTCTGGACGTCCTGCTCTAGGGTCGTCATTTAAATCCTCACGACCATTCTTAAATCGTGTAAACCACGATAAACTTGCGTACGACTCATACAATCATCACAATAAACTTTTTTCATTAATTTTTTTTCAAGTTTGATACAAAATTTTATATTTGCTCTTTGTTCCATTTGATTTTTGAACCATTAGCACATTTTTGGCTTTATTGAAATGGCTGTCACTTTTACATCTGACATCCGACTTACATGATGTTAGGTGCGTTTGAAATGGAATGAATGTATCTTTTTAATGTTGCGAATTTTGAATAGATGGCGCTGTATGTTGTATGATTTAAATATAAAGTTCGGTTATTTTTAGGACACACCCTGTAAGTATCGTTATTTCTGAGGTACTCGTACTCATTTTTGATGTTTTCTGTACGTCCGCCTCTATGGGTTGGTCCACAGTTACACCACGTTAATAAAAAATTCTTCCTTATTCCTAGGGGAAGTTGTTTTTCTATATTTAAGGCATGTTAAAGTTCTTCGTAAAGGGGTCTTGTCTTAAAAGAACCTTGGTAAAATTATCGGAATACCATTTCAGAACCCTACAGCGGTCGTTTGAGGGAATGCTTGAAATAAAAAAGGACTTTTCAGTTGGGAACTAGCGATATGTGTTTAAACCATTTTTTCCACATTTTTTTGGAAACAGTTACCAACAGTACATGAAAACTTTAGAATGTCATGAAAAAAGTCTGAGCTAACTTTTGAAAATATTTGAAAAATTTATGTTACTGGCTGTATGTACTTTAAAAAAATATGAATAAAGTCAGTGCTAATCCTGATCGTTGCCAAGGGATCTTTAAGTAAAAACAAGCTGATTCTCCTACAAACCCAAAATTTCTCGTTCTTCTGGTATTGGACGTTAGACAAATGCTGAAGGAGCACTTCAAAAAAAGGAAGCTGAAGAATACTTTAAGCTTTGGGACAATAGCCTGAACCAAAAAGCCTCCACAATTTCTACTCGAAGAATGAGGTTGGAACATTTTTTTTATTTACCTCTGTTATTAATCTTGAGTATTTGGCTCGAGTTAAATTTTCATATTCATAAAGGCTGTGTGTAATCGTCGTCCGTTCGGAAATTATTGAAGGCGATTCAGAAATTCATATTCCTGAGTTTTATTTGTTGCAATTTGATGTTTAAAAAGATCCGTTCATGAAATGTTTATATGTAACATATTTGTACAATAATTGGCGCCTTGTAGCCTCCTTCTGCTTTATTGGTGTTGGTATCGCTTACGTGATTATAGCCGAATTAATTAAAGCGCGTCATTCATCCTTTTTTGCGCTGTTTGGCGCCAATTGGAAATATCAATTGAGGCCAGGTCACTATCCACCTGATCCCTCCAACGGATACTGCATCGTATACTTTCAAACCTGGAGTGCTTTCTTCCATTCGGACGACATGACCTAGCCAGCATAGACGCTTTCTCTTCATTCGCTGAACTATGTCAATATCATCTTATAGTCGTACAGCTCATCGTTCCATTGTCTGCGACATTCCCGGTTGCCAATGCACAAACGAAAAAAGACTCCTAAAGCCGATTCTTCTGCTGTTCACATTGTCCACGCCTCTGCGCCATATAAAAGGACGGGTATGATGAGCGACTTGTAGAGTTTGCTTTTCGCCGCTTTGTTGACGCTGAAGCGATTTTTCGACCGAACTCTTCCTCCAATTTGTGTTGTGCTTCTTTATGGAGGGACCATTGATTTTATTGTCAGAAGTACAGTCGGAGGATTTGGCTTTCTCTACGAAGGGATGTTTGTTTAGACCCGGACTGAAACTCTGAATATTTTTGCGCAATGCTAACTACACGAGAGATGCAATAATATAATATAGTCGATTTCCGCCTTGAAGTGGTTAGTCTTTGCTATCCGAGGCAAAGATTTACAAGACAATCAGGATACTCAGTGCGGCCCGGTGCTTACAGTAGTCGGTACTACACATCATGCTTTGGTGCTTAGACAACGGTTCTCTCCTTATGTACGTAGCTTGATTAAGATATGTGGAATGATAAAATTCCAGTTGTGGGCTTATCAAAGATATGCTCTTGGCTCAAACAGATTTCAGACAAATATCTTCTATTGAATAAAAAATGGTGAAATTTTTCTTGATTTTTGGAGGAGAATGTTTTGTCGAGGGATTCGAATTTTCCAACCAAAAAATTCCATTCTTTTTACCCAGTTGATGATATTGCCGTGAACGCCGTGGTTGCGTTCACAAAAATATCCAGGGTTCACATCCTCTTTTCTTATTTATGTCATCGAAAAAATTTTCCACAGTTGGCTGTCGTGGAAACTATTGGAATTTGAAAGTAAATACTTGATTCCTCAACACGATAACTTCCAGTACCTGGTATGAGGTACTTTCCCAAAATTGGGAGGGCCATAAGGATCACGAGTTGTCAAAATCGAAAGTTTCTCTCCTGCTTAATTAAAATATTTTTGAAAACAGTTATAAACGGTTACGACTCTGAGGTAGATAGATAGGTAGGTGGGAATGCGATTCGAATGTTTTAAGTCTCGGAATCCATTGGTGTTGGGTATTCCATCTTGATATCCTGTCGTAAGACTTAAATCTCTACTATAACGTTTAATTATTGCGTTCTCCATGAAAGCTATTATAACCGCATATGCTTTTTGTGGACAGTATTTCTAGGCTGGGTATCTAATTGATCCCTAGTTTTCGGTGTAGAATTTGCGAGACAGCTTAGAGATTGTTCGGTGTAGGAGTAAAGATGCGTTGTTTGGGACTGTAAGTCTGTATATACTTTTCCTTAAGCTATTTGGTAGGTCCGTAGTTCTGATCAACTCTATTTTGTTATCTCAGAGTTGGATATGGATTTCCATCTACTCAATGCTAATTTTTAAAATTTCAAATGAAAATTTCTCTCGAACGTTTTTGGCGAATATGCTATTAGTTTTGCCTCAGATTCGTCAAGAGGTGATTCGAACTTGGACAACTCTCCAGCTGTTTCATTACCAAAAATAATTGATATAATAAAGGCCAGCTGTGTTACTAGCGAACTCAGAACATTCCTTCAATTATTGATGACTGCTTGTCCA